ATTTGGCCCAGATTTCCCCTACCTGCATCCATCATCCTCAGGTTATCTTCAGGAGGCGTTTGACGGATGTGAGGAGGTCAGAGCGAGGTCAGAGTGATGTGGCTCGTTTAGTTAATGTGAAGCATGTGGGCTGATAAGGTGAACCTCCTCGGCTGACACCTCGAAATGAAACACTTTCACACCAGAACGCAGTGCCATTTGGTGGACCTGATAATGTTTTTTTTCGTTCGCGACACTACGCTTTAGCTGGAAGCCTTGGGAAATGCACTTATTATGTCAACATGGAATTACCATAGTGTTTGGTGCCAGACTGTGGCTAGGACTGAGATTTGCTTTGAGAAATTTAAAGCAATCAGGTGTTACCACAAGCAGTTAAACTATCTGAGAACGAACATACACTGTCAAAATGGGATCAGATTCAAAAGATTTAAATGTATATGCAGAACTTGTTTCGCAGAACTGACAAGCTTTATCAGATGTGATAGGGAAAAAAAGTCACATATGGGGCTGTTCACAGAGCATGTTTTTGCACCGTGAGACGCAAGGTCTAAACATGTTTTTAGAACAATATGTTAAGCATGAGAAGCTGCAAAACACACAAGGCGCGAGCGCAGTGGTTAAACACGTCGTATCGCAATATAAAAATGCTACAATATGTACTGTGGATAGTGACAAACTGTATTGTGAACAGTTCACCCAAAATAAAAATGACTGTGTGAGAAAATAATTCAAGTTTTCAGAGTTTTAGTGTCAGTATTGCATTAAACTACTATATATAATGTTGAATGTAATGTATAATAATACAATGTGGGAACATTTCTGGGTCCTGATAATGCCAAATGTCTCATGTTACCAGTAAAAAGTGGCTTAAATTATTTTAAATATATCTAGTCAGTGACAGAGTGCTAAAATAATTCTGTATTTTCAGCTTCAGAATCAGGAATATTTTTATTCTGGTGTCATAATTGTCCTGTGCTTTGGGTTATCAGCCTATGCATTTACACAACCAATGTAAACCCAAATTTAGTGTTTTTTGTTAACCTTTTACCATTTGTATTGCAATAATATCGTATCATGAGTTCAGTACCCTGATATGTATCGAATTGTGACACGAGGGTATCGTTACACCCCTATTTATATTGTAAAACTATTGTAGCGCACCAGAATGAAAAAAAACAGGTTTTGAGAAAAGCCCCTTTTTAATATCTCAATTGTTGCTCCTAGACACAAAGTACATTTACATGCAGAATTATTCACGTTTTTTTTGTCTTTTCTCAATGCCGAAGCCAACTGTTGTCTGATTAATGTTTACATGCTGAGCGAAACAAGAGCTTCAATCCCATTATAGAACTAACAGACCCATTTCACTCAGACTAAAAGTGTTTAAGTGACATTTTAGAAAGACAAATCATTGCTTTAGTCTGACCGAAATGGAATGCTAATGAAGTGTAATGTAAACATAAATTACTGGGATTAAATTGAAAGAATTTTCTCTCACACATTTGTCTCCTGAGAAAACTATCTCATTTTACAGTTCCTAAAAAACATGTCTGTGCTCAGATTGCCAAGATACCAAAGCCTGTGATCAAAAAGTCATTATGAAGCAAGTCAAATATTGCTCATCAGATTCTTCCAAACCCCAAACGATCAGTGTTGTGCAACTGGATTTAGCTGGGGTGTGTCACAACTACTGACTCTTTTTGCTGAAATTTCCCCCATATATGTTGAAGGTCAGAGTTCCGCCCCAAAGACCACCTCTGAACATTTCAAACGGGATGGGAGTTGACTTTCAGACTGAAGGGTCATTATCTCAGCGGGGATCTGTTAACACACACCTGCCGAGAGACACATCCACAGACTGATTCCTCAGCAACTAGACTGTGTATGCCAATGATTGTGACTAATTTGAACACTTTTAGGAGAAACATCTGAGACAATGTCATGGGTCAGTTCATTTTGCTCACTCTCATGTTGTTCCAAATTATATATGGTATCTGGCATTTTTAAAAAGTCAATGGGGTCCAATGTTGTTTTGGAAACCATTGACTTTCATTGTATGGAGGACAAAATAAAAATTCTTTAAAATGTCTTCCTTTTTATACCAGAAAGTCATACAGGTTTGGAATGAAACAAGTGTGAGTAAATGACGACATTTCATTTTTGGCTGAACTAAACATTTTGGCTCCAACCCCACATTGGTTTATGCTAAGCAACGCTAATCCTCCTCACAGGCAACACAGACTTTGAGAGTGGCATGTCACAATCAAAACCTTAAACTTTTTAGCTTTTGTGAGTCTGTAAAGTGAGACCTTCGTACAGCTGAGAGAGAACGCCAGCAGCAGAAACTTCCTGTGTCAAATTGCTTCACACATTCCTCTCTACTCGTTTTCTCTCGTTCCCTCCTCCTCATCTCCCTCCCTCTCTATGGTTGTCTTTGTCGTCTACAGCACAAAACACTGATTCAGTGCTGAACCCAGGAGTCCAACATGATCCTTTAAAACACGCATAAATGCAGGAGCTCTCAGGAGCGGATGCGTTTCCATTAGCTCAATTCCCAGATCTAAATTAAACTCCATCTCTGGCACACAAAGCCAGAAAGGATATGACACCACTGACCTGATCCACATGAAGCATCCGTTTGAAGTGGCCACAACAACTCAACCAATCACGCATTATACAAGCAGTGTGTGTTGATTCATTTTCAATAACACCCAACCCCACCCAAATGTGGGTATTTTAGCACAGTAAAGTGTGTGAATTTTGCTCATCAGCCAGCCTAGACTTGTAAGACATCTCGGGTTGACACGTGACAAGATAAGTGATTCTTTAGACACACTTGAAGAAACACATTTGCACATATGTTGATGAACAAGCAATACAGAAGCTGTTAAAGTTCCTGATGTCTGATTCTGCTGTGTGTTTGGATGTTTACCCGGACTTTTACCGTGCGGTTTCCATGAATCTTAACTGTGAACGCTCGATATTAACTGGAGTAAAGATTGCTTCAAATCTACACTGTGTGATTCACTTAAAATATGAATGAAAACAATACAGGTTCACTTGTTTGTTGCCAACTTAAGGGGTCAGTAAAAACTGGACCAAAATAAAACGTTCAAGGTCATGAGTGCAAAGAATGTATTTTTAGCCCACTTAAAGCATGTTTATTTACATGTGATGGATTGTAAAAGTAAAAATACCTGGTAAAATGGAGGATTCATAAAAAAAAGCTTAATATGTGGACAACCTTAACAATAATGGTCTACTGACGACATTTTCTCCTCAGCTACCCAATAGAGTGCACTAAAGTTTCGGAAGTAAAAAATACCATTTATTTTCTCCATACAGGGAATAGTTTTTTTAATTAATGACATATAAACTGTTAAAGACAGGCCTACTGTGAGCTGTGAGGTTGTTAATCGATGGTACTTTTGTTGAAGCCATTAGGCTCGCTTCATGGCTTATAACTCTTAAACTAAGACTAAAAAATAATGGGGAAAATACTTCCGGAACCAAGGCTGCTGAAAAAGTGGACGGGCACTGTGTGTTGGCATGGATTTGAGACCACCAGTAGCTCCAGTAGTTTATCATTGTCTGTCAACTGTTTAAAACAATGGCTTTGAGCGCAACACAAAGTCATAGCATCCGTAATAAAGACTCTAGAGAAAAACGAAGAGCTCTGTTTGGTAGATCCTGTGTTAACTTACGCCATCTTTTTTTTTCAGTCTCAAAATAAACCAGGTGAATGAATTTGATACCCTTCTGAATTGCACATTTTCGGGTTTCAGTCATCATAGTTGTGTAAACTTCTAGCAGTGAATGAGAGACTACATTAAATATATTTTTCGTGTTCCCATTTGCTCAAATAGCAAAAGAAACACCAAAAATACAGTTTTCACAACTTTCAAAAAAAGAGAAAATAGAAAGAGATTGATAACAGCAGTCAGAAGAGAGGAAAAACGCAGCTGCTGTATTAGAAATATCCTCACAGCGTATATAGTTTTTATTTTTATTTTTTGTAATTTGATGCAAAGGTAATGCAAGGTAAAGTGTTATAAATGTACATACATTTTAAAAAAAATAATTTTCTTGGGGTGGGGGTGGTTGAAGGGTAATTTTTGCATATTTGGTTATTTAAAAAAAATAATAATAATATAAAAACGTTGCAGGATTTACGATGCTGATGATCGTTAAAAATCGGTTAAATCGCGTCATAACAGTCTGTGTGTGAAAAGGTTGTTGCTCTCTTGCGCCGCGAAAACCAATGACGTCACCCCCCCGCAGCCCCTCCACACCCTCCTCCTCCGGCGATCTCCGGTCAATAACCCGCTGATCGGCGACACTTCCCACACCTCCGCCGATTACCTGCTTTAACCCATTATAATGCAGCCCTGCTGTAATTACTGGGCATGTCTGGAGCCCACCGATCACTCTTGACCTCAAAGAGAGCGGTACGTGTGGAGGGACCACCGACAGGCAAACATGAGGGACAAAAGGCTCGTAATTAAACCATAATTAGACGCGACGCGTTAATTATAGTTTATCATGACCCGCGCGCGCTCACACACACGCTCCACGCCAACATAATCAGACAACCGGGGAAGGCGGCTAGCGTAACGGTGCGTCCGTGACCCACAACACCAACACACACCCACCTACCTACCCACCCACATCCAGATAAAAATGGCCAAACAAGGCAAAGGTGCTCAATGGAAACCCGGACCGTGAGTCAGTCGACTCGTGGGTCCCATCACGGAGCTTCTTCTCCAGCCCGCTCGCCGCGCGCCTCAGGCCGCCAGAGACGCGCTGTCTGCGGTCAGCCGAGAGAATGTGGGTCGCGTCCAAGATTTGCAACACGGATGCTGTCGCCTAATTAATGACCATACAATTCACCCTCTCTCATAACGATTACCGCAAACACGCACGAACATAATCTCGATTGTTAAGCGCATGTGACCGGCGGTAAATCGCCCCTCTTCGTAACAATAGAGTGTCATTCTTACCAGTGCGGTTTGCGCCAGCAGCAGCAGCGCGAGCGCCATCCAGCACGGGCGCTTCATGGTGCTCCGAACACGGCAAAACACGGGGCTCTCGTCACCCCGCTTCTCTTTCAGGTGCTAGGTAAGAGTAAACCTTTCGTTTTCGGTATCCAACTTCAGGGCAGGGGCTTTTGTCGGCACATCCGTCTGCCCGTGATCGCGTACGGCACACGGTCAAATCCCCGCAAAACCACGCGAAGACCGAGGAGTAGCAACGCGCGCACGGCCTCTAGTGATCTACTCCCCTCTGACTTCAGTGGTTGAGACTTGATGGATGTGGAAGCAGGGAAGACCAGAACTCCCCCCTCTCTCACACACACACACACACACACTTCTCTTTCTCTGCTGTACGCGATGGCGTGTGTAAGAAGAGGAGGGCATTGGTTGGATTCTCCTCCTCGTGCGGTTGAGGAATGATGATGCCCCCTGCAGCCCGTCTTCCCTCCCTGCCTCTCTCTTCTTCTTCTTCTCCTCCTCCTCCCACTCCCTTTTTCTTCTCCCTATCAAGATTTACATAAACCCTTCCTGTGACCCTGCTGCATATCGGGGATTTTTTTTGGTCTATAGTGGACATATGTTTTTGATAAAACGGTAACTCTGGAATAACTTCATGCTACTGTTTGGACTCCCAGTGAATCTTCAAAAGGGAATAAGATTCATTGCCAAGTGTGTTTTACACACACACACACACACACACACACAAGGAATTGTGGTCAAATGTGTCAAATTGCTCATAGCAACATATCTTAATTTCTCTCAATCATCATTTTATTGCATTACATTATAGATTTGCCCCTCATAATTAAAATAATTGCATTTTTTAATTGCAAAACATTTAAATATCTTCTTACTAACTAAGACATATAATTGGGAGACAACTGATATTTATATGCATTTTTAAAGGGATAGTTCACTTTGAAATTAATTTTTGATATGTTTTAGCTTACCACAAGGGCATCCAAGATGTAGGTGTCTTTCCATAGTATTTTCAATTTTGACATTTTTCGGTTAAACCGGTGTTGTCTGTCAGTCATATAATGCAGTTTAAGAAGGTCCACCTCAAAGAGCATGCACAGAGAAGTCAAATTAAACATGATTTAATGACTCGTAAATGTAAGTGCACACTGATGGCCTAAGACACGAAACGAGCGGTTTGTGTGAGAAAAAGAACAGTATTTATATAGTTTTTACCTCTTGATAACAGCCGTCAAACTGATCTGAATCAGATGTCCAACTGAACCGAACTGAACTGTCTCCAGACGTTACGCCGGAAGTGATCTCTCGCACGTCTACGTCACGCATTGTTTACAACGGAGATTTCGGAAGTTTTACCTTTCACTAAACATATTTTGATATATACGGGAAATCGCAATGGAAGACGATTTCGATATGTCAATATGTTTAGTGAAAGGTAAAACTTCCGAAATCTCCGTGTAAACAATGCGTGACGTAGACGCGTGAGAGATCACTTCCGCCGTAACGTCTGGAGACGGTTCAGTTCGGTTCAGTTGGGCATCTGATTCAGATCAGTTTCGACGGCTGTTAACAAGAGGTAAAAACTATATAAATACTGTTCGTTTTCTCACACAAACCGCTCGTTTCGTGTCTTAGGCCATCAGTGTGCACTTACATTCACGAGTCATTAAATCATGTTTAATTTTGACTTCTCTGTGCATGCTCTTTGAGGTGGACCCCCATACCTGCATTATATGACTGACAGACAAGAACGGTTTGACCAAAAAATATCAAAATTGAAAATACTGTGGAAAGAAAGACACCTACATCTTGGATGCCCTTGAGGTAAGCTAAAACACATCAAAAAATAATTTCAAAGTGAACTATCCCTTTAAGTAGTCTGTTATAAAATATTTATTTTATAGGCTCAGATATAAAATTGTTTTATTTTATAAAATTGTTTCAACTTAAAAAGTGTTTGTGCTGCTTTAAAATTTTAAGTTTAGTCAACTCAAATATCCAAGTTGACACTAACAGTTTTTACAGTGTACTTTTTGGTAACATCTGTGCATATTTTTGCTCAATTTCTTGACTGTGAGCTCCATATTCTCACTATATAATTTATCAGTCATTGGTTAGAATTTTTTTTTAAATTTCATCTAAAGGTTTAATAAAGGCTTTATTTTTTTAAACTAATATTTGATACATAAGATTTTGTGATGGAACAAAGAACTCTTCTAATTCTGGTTTTGAATGTTTAAATCTTTTGATCAATCATCAGCTGAAAACGAAATCATTCTAAAAGGGATTCCAATTAAATCGTTCCAGTGTGTTTGTGGTCTGGACTTGCCCGTTGCCATAGAATTAGTACAATTATCAAAACACTATATAGTTACAGCCATCATCCTTAGTGTGAACAGGCTTTTAGTCACTTTTGAAAAATGCAAGATTTACAATAGCACATCAGAGATGCTTTAATCTAAAGAGACGGAAAGACGTTATGCAAGTTCTACGTTTGAAAACCACTTATGCGAGTGTGATTTAAATAAATTCTTCATCAAGGCGTATCTGCTTTCATCAAGACAGTACAGTATCCTCAGGCCGTCATTAAGAAAACTCATTTATTGCTCATTATCATTTGTTTCATTAAAGAGGACCTGTTATGCCCTTTTACTAAGTTTTTGGGCTCAACTAGAATGTTTTCATGCTTGAATGTTCAAAAAAACATTATTTTATTCTCTATTGTTGGAGTTCCTCTCTTCCCAGTCTGTCAGTAACGCTCTGTTTAGTTCCTGTCTCTATGAAGCCTCTTCTTCTGAAAAGCATGATGAGCTCTGATTGGCCAGCTGGATTAGTGTGTTGTGATTGGTCAATCGCTTCGAGTGTGTTTGGGAAATGTACTGCCCCCTTACCATAACCGCCAGTTTCAACCATAGACAGTAAAAGAAAAGGACACAGTCAGTGACCCCTTTCATTTCAACGGAGAAGACTGAAGCCCAATTATTGCACTTCCTGTCTGATGTCTGAGGGACTGCACAGGCTCAAACTGTCTCTGAGTGAAGTAGTCACTGAAGCACCAACAGACTTTTTTTTCAGGATCTTCGGAGGAGATTGGAGCTTCAAATTTAATATCTAAATTTCTATAATTCATAAAAAAAAGTGCCCGAGTGTGTTATTGCATTTCTGCGAGAGTGAGGGCAGCGACTTGATTGCATGGCTTTACTTCCTGCTCACGACTGAACACGTCTGGTCCCGAAATCGCTTCTGCGCAGACTCAAGTCCCAAATCGGGACACTCGCAGCATAGAGCGAAGGGGCATCGCCCAGCTTTTTTTTTACAGTCTATGGTTTCAACACACTACTAACTAACTCGACCAGGCCCCACCCCTTTTATTTAAATGAGGAATAATAATGAGGAATGACGAAACTCGAGAATAATAGGAATATTACACACTAAAGAAAGTTGAACATGTAAGAAATCATAAAAGGTCAGGCATGTACATTCAAGTTGTGAAATTATAGCAACTAAAATTAGTCCAAACAAAACTGTAATCTTTAACGAGAGTAATTTTTATGACAGAATAGTTAATAATGATCACAGTCCTTGAACACATGGAAAGGAAGAGTCAGAAGCCGTCGTGAAATTTTGAAATTTTTTCATTGTTTTGTTTCAAAATAAAGATCACACGTTGTTTAGAGACAATCTACAACTGGAGTTACAAAAAATAGTTGCCCAGGCAGAAAGCACACACAGCATCTGTTACCTATACACATTATGGTTACAAGTGTGCCTGCATAAAGAGAATCATAGGAAATATACACAAGGCTGTTTAAATATACACCAGAGAGTGTTCCAAATCAAAACCAATGGCCAGTATGTTACAATCACTTACAAGTAGACAAAAGAATGGCAAATCTGTACACACCTCCGACTCTGACCCAGGGCAGTCGAGCGCGTCACACACACATACACACACACGCGCTTGCTGCTACCTGCCCAGGAGTCAGGGAGGGACTATAAAAGGTCTTAAAAAAAGAAAGGGATGAGTGGAGGTGAAAAAGAGGTGGCTGGTGAATGGCTAAAAGCAGAGTGCGCACTTTTCTCTGTTCTTTGTACATCTATGCAGTAATAATTCAAAGGGCTTCAAAACCAACAAAAAAATCTGATATTACAATTTACAATATATAACAACTCATAACTCAGAAACCACAACCAAAGAGGTGAGAATTTACACTGAAATGCACAAGATTTTCTTTTTTTTCCCATTTTGTCAGGTTTTTTCTTCTTCTCCTCATACCAAAAAAGGGCTGTAGAAGCGAGTCCACATTTACATTAGCGAAGGTTTACAAATGTACAATTATACAATCATGTATTCACTACAGGGGAAGATTATAGATACAGATTGGACATCAAAAACCAGAAAAACTACAAAGTTTTATATATATATTTATATATATATATGCAAAGGTCTACACCAAGTATGCACTAAATAGTTTATAGAAGCAAGACCAAAAACGTCTCCCATGCTAAATGTCTGCGTGTTAGCAATCAAGTGTTAGTGATAAATGTATGTGTGTGTGTGTGCGTTATGAAGAATATGCGAGTTAGAAAGGTGTTGCGAAGCAATAAAGTGTGTTTGCGCAAGCCTACATGATTGAACATGGGATAAATCAAATATTCTCTCATTTCATACAGGACCAAAAAGGACCATCATTTAGGTAGTAGAGCAAAAACCAGAAGAAATGCTAAAAGGGAGAGGAAAAACAAACACAAAAAAAACAGGTCACAAAAACCTGGGGATGATTCAGTGTTGAGGTGAAGGTTTCGACTCCACCCCAACGTCATCGACTGCGGACAGACACGCTCTCACAGACGGCCATCCTAGAGGAATTATGGGAAGGGTTTACATGATGCCATTAGGAGGTGCACAGAGTGGGCCGAGGTCAACGCCGTTCTTCATGTAGTACTTCTCCAGCTTGGCCAAAATGTGCTTTCCGTACGTGTACTTCCTCAGCGTTGCAATATGGGGCCGGATCTACACAAAACCAAGCAACATACATCACACAACATTCATCAGTTCTTTGACACTTTAGCACAGTGATACGACCATGTTAAATACGTTCATAATATCGGTACTAAAAATAAAACCAAAGCAGCAAATAAAAACAATGATTCATACAATAGAAGTTAAATAAATAAACCGACTGTATCTAAAAGTTTAATGTATGAAATGCTAAAGGTTGTATATTAGGCTGCTGTCACTTTAAGACTAAATTCACAGACTAAATTTACTGACAGATCTGGTTTTCACCCGACTGTGTGTTAAAGCAGTGTTTCCCAACCCTGTTCCTGGCGGCACACCAACACTGCGTGTTTTCTTTGTCTCCCTAATCAAACACACCCGATTCAACCCA